GACTTCCTGGGGGGGGGTAAAATTATGGTCAGGCTCTCTTGCTTCTCAGATCCCTGATTTCATTTCTCTCCTCTTCCTAGTGAGTTCATCTTTCTGACCTTGAATTAATGAACAGGGATTAAAGTATACATGGAGGCTGGAACCAAGCTGTGCTAGTGGTTATATCTTGGTGCTGCTGTTATATTTCACCCAGTGGGGGAAAATAATGAAACCAATCCCATATGGCAGTCATGGTGTGTCTCATACCCACTCATTCCTCTCTGACTGTGGTTCTAGAAGGTCAATCCTGGATGGAATTCGTGGTGTGTGGCCTGTCCTCCATAGCTCCACTCACACTCGGGTTCATGAAGGAAGGCCATCTGGATTGCAATGGTGGTGTTCTCTCCTACGCATGCTCAGATTTATGAATGGAAAGCCTGGATGGCAGTTGGGGGGTTGCACACCACCTCTCACACTCCGATTCATGACAAAGGCGGTGACGCGGTTACCAAAGTCAAGCCTTCCATGTCCTCTCACATTTTTTTACTCCCCTCTCATGTGTCCCCGTCTCCCCCACTCCACCATTCGGTTCACTCTTAAGGAAGCAGAGCCATGCACACCGGCCCTTCATGGCCAAGGCTCCACGACTCCACCCTCGGCTGCATCCTGCAGAGACAGAGGCCAGCCCATAGGAGTCCATCTGGTCAGAATGGCGGGATGGCTTGCTGAGGATGCCTGCTAGGCTGAGATACACGGGGCTGGAAGGAGTAGAGAGGATGCGAGCCAACAGATAGAAAGAGGCCTGGGAGGAAGGACTGGAAGACAGCAGACAGACAGGCCCACAACCCTCATGGTAAATCTCAGAAGAGCAGTCCCTGCCAACACAGCTGAGTCAAGTCCTGAGCTCATTTGAATGGCTTCTGTCCCAAGCCTGAGTCACTGGGGATTCCACGGACTTCTACGTTTACCCTCCATGAATTTCCAAAAACAAACTGCTTGATGCTGTCATGGAAAACCTGGATCTTTGCATTCTACAGTTTCACTATGGATTGCATCCAGGTCACAACCTAAGGAAGACAGCTGGAGAAAAACAGGCCTGCTGGCTGGTTACCCAGCATTTGTAATGAATCCCAGAGGAATCTGAACCCATGTATGAGGCTAGCTCTGCCAAGTCCCTGCCACGCTCTCCTCCGGTGCAGGCTGCTCTGAAGTCTCTGCTGCCAGGGGAGCGTGAGTGGCCACCTGCAGCCAGAATCAAGCGTGGATGCTGCCTCCGGGAGGAGAGCACAGGAAGTGTATGTGTGGAAGACAGGAAGATGTGGCTCATGCTCCTGTTTCTGAGAACTGTGGTCTAAGAAGATCTAACGGTCCAAAGCCTCAGGTCAGGCCTGCACCTGCACCCCAGGCAGGCAATCAAGGAACCAGAGAGCAGTATCATGCAGAAAAATACAGGATTTGAGGAAAATAAGGCCGATTCCAAGGGTTTATAAAAGATACCCTATTCTGCAGAACCCATTAATTCTTAGAAACACAGAAACATCCTAAAACTTGGCAAGAAAGCAGAAACACTTTCATAGTCACCACAGAGCTACCATGGCTTCCTAAATGCCAAGTATTATGCTTGTCTTGCTCACATATTATTTAATTTAATCCTCAAACAACCTTGAGGTATGCACTATGATTGTATCTGTTTCCCAGTGAGCAAATCTGAAGCTTAGACAAGTGGGCAAAGTTGGCCAGTGTTTCACAGTCCTAAGTAGATCCTAACTCCAGTGATGGCCTGAAGGGACTGCTGTGTGAAGGTAGGATGAGCAGCCTCGAAACAAGTTCCACATTTTCAGTTAACTGTAGCTGTTGCTTTAAAAGCACCAGGTTGAAATTTCTACTGAGGTAGAGCCTTTCATGTGAGCGCCAAAACATCGATATTTTAAATGCAGGCTTTGTTCTGAGAGAGGGTCTTGGATTTGAGCTTATGATCCATCCTCTGCCTTCCTCTCCCAAGTGCTCGGATTACAGACGTCCCACCACGTCTACTTCGTGGTTTGTATTTCTACATAAGCCTGTGGACTCTTTATTTCTTTAAATTAGGTGTGCCTGACTATATGCCTTGGTCATCTCGTAGTTTTGTGTCCCGCCAGTTGCTGTTTGCAGTGTCATTCTGCTACAGCCCAAGAAGACATACTTCCCCCCAGAGCTCACTTCCTTGCTCCTCATCTGCTTCACTGCGAGCAGAACACAAGGGGGCGCAGTAGAGGAATGCAGCTGCTCTCTGGTGCTCATACAGCTGCCTGTGGAGGGAATGACAGCTGCTATGCTATCTTCACACCTGGGTGGTGACCTTTGTAGTCAAATATCCCAGGACCAGGCCTGCTGCTGCCTACGTGCAGGGCTGAACTGTCTGTGGTGTGGGCCTCCATCCTGAGAGCCCCTCTAGCCGACGTGGGACCATGGGAAGACAAGTTCATCCGTATCTATCATTACCTGACTGTGGTGCATCGTCAGTCTGGCGATGAACAAAAAAGCCTGCCTTTTCTATATTTCAGACCTTCACCTTAAGCCTGTGGCTCCCTAGAGAGCAGAGTGCCAGACAGTAAGGTCCTCTGCCTCTGCCAATTGAAAACCGAGTAACCTCAGAATTTCTGAACTGTGCCCAAGTCATGGGGTGGACAGAAACTCAGATCTCTTTAGGAAGCTCATACTTTTGGAACTACCATCTCCATCTAGCAGGCTGGTCCATCCAGCAGCCTCCTCAACTCCTCTCGGCTAATTCATGCATGGGGGGGAGGGAGGGGAGAGGGAGGGAAGGAGGAGAGTGGAAGGGAGGCCACAAAAACTCACTGGTGTAAATACACATTGAACATGGTAAGAAAATGTTTGCTTGCCAGTTGTCTGAAGCAGCACATAAGGACATAAGGACATAAGGACATCTGCTGGGCTAACTCATCCTCAGGGATGGTGTTGACTGGAATGACCCTTGTTAAAAAAAATGCATGAAGCTGGATGTGATGGCAATGGTCTGTGCCTGCAAGTCAGCACCTAGAAGTTGAGGCAGGAGGATTTCCATATGTTCAAGGAAAAGTGAAACAGAAACATAAAATCAAAACAGGCTGCATGGGACTAGTCTTCAAGTCCAAAAGATAAAGGTGCCTCTATGTTGTACCCTAAAACTACAAGTCATATGTTGGAGCCGAGATGTCTCACCCCACACTGAAAGTGATGCCCCCCTTTTTTTGCCAGAACATAGATATTTCTGTGATGTGAGCTTCCCAGGGGAAGGGCTCTCCCAGGAGGACAAACCACTAGTCTCTCAGGCCAGCTTACTAACAAGCCCACAAGCAAGCCATGAAAGCATGGAGGGTCTATGGACATGGTTAAGGTGTCAATCCCTCCTTTCTGACTAAGCAGGATTCTTTCTAAGAGTATGAATGAACCCTGGGCACAGGCCATGTGTTTAGACTGACCATTTAAAACCCTTTGGTAACACTTCCCAAATGTTTTCAGACGGACACCTGAGGCACTATGAGGAGAAGAAAGCTGAAAAGAAAAAGGACCCAAACCCTCTGCCTTTAATGTTTCTGGAAGGTGAAACACCAAGGGACAGACTTCAGATTTCAGGCCTGAATCTAAAGGACAAAGAGCTTCGCAGAATTAGAGGAACTAAGATGAAAACAAATATTGAGGTGACGTCACGTTCTAATCTTCCCATTTTGCACAGAGAGGTGGTACTCTGCCCAAAAGTGGATCTCCTAGCTAGTAGCAAAGCTAGAAGATAGAAGCTTGATCTGGCAGATTCTGTGAGTGTCTATATCTATCTGGACCATTCATGGCACAGCTGATCCTGTTAGGTAAGTACCCAAAGACTGTCAGAATAACCTGTGGAGGCAGCTCAGGAGGAGAAAAGATTCTGTCATCTCTGAGCCCATTATCCCATCCTTAATCCTTAATCACAACATGCAGGCCCCCCCCCACCCCCACCCCTGCCCCAGATCCGAAGAACAGAAAAAAAAGTTATCTTATCAGCTGTTTGGAAAAAGTCCTGTCATTTGATCTGTTTATTTGGAAGCAGCCCTGCTGAACCCAAGAGTTTGCTATGAGGCTGAGTGGAGTTAGTTCATGTAGGGTCCCGGGCTCCAGGGCTCAGCTGGTCCCCAGGCCTAGCTTCTGAAGTGGTGAGAGGCCAGAGGGAAGGAACCACCTGTGCTCTTCAATAGGGTGGAGGTAGATTCCTGCCCCTCCCACCAAGACTCAAACAGAACAGTTCCCTGTTTAGATGGGAATGCTCCCCTGTCCCTTCTACCCATCAGATGCTTTCTAACTCAACCGCCCAGAGGCAGTCCCTCCAGCTGGGATAATGGCTGCAGTCTTGGGTCACTGGCCATCTTTGAATCTTTGGGGAAACAGTATCAGCATCCACGCTGCCTCCCCCCCCCCCATCACTCTCAACCTTTCCACCCATTTCCAACAAGCTCATTAGTGAGAAATGCCCAGAAAAAAAATGGAAGTTAGCTTGCACCTCTGATCTGACTGCACAGAACATTCTATGAGGCTCCAAGAGACAATTTAAGTGGAAACACCATTAACTACAGAGCCGCGGATGCTAATTCCCCCATCCCCCACCCCCCACCGCTGGAGTCCTCCCGGCCCAGAGCTGACAAGAGTAGGGCAACCTCTCTGCCTCTGTCTGTACAGGGAACCAAGGCAATGTTTTTCCGTGTTGGCAGAGTTCTTGCTGCAGCTGAGACTAGCTCTGATCAACCTCCTCAGACATGACTCCCCCTCCCCGTCGACCCTGAAGTTTTAATTTAATGAGAAAGCAAAAAAGTAGGAACTCAAACAACACCCAACAACTCAGAGCCAGAGAAAACAAGCAAGGAGCGGCATGCAATGCCAGATTGCAAGCCTGGTACTGCTGAGAGAGTGATCCCAGGGGAAAGGGACCCTGGCCAGCCCTCTTCAGCAGAGGCAGGCAACACGTGCCAGGAGTCCCGAGCTCAGACTCCTCCCTTTACCCCAGCACTCACCTGCGATTCCCTGCAGGAGCCCGCAGACGTTGAAAATACTTTTCTTCATGATGCTTTGTATACACATGGTGAAGACGGACACCAAGGCCACCACGCAGAGAATGAAGATCCCCACGGCCAGGAAGATAGCAGTGGCCTGCCAGAAGCCGCTGGCGATCTCTCCGAAGCTCTTGGCGTAAGTCCCGCACAGTGTGTCCCTAGGGGCTTGCTGCATGCCGGGCGTGCGGAAGCAAAGGATGCCCAGGTAGTAGGGCTCTGAGTCCGTGTCTGCCGGCTCAGCGCCGCGGGTCTTGGCTTTTCCGATTAGCCAGTCTGCGCTCATGAAGGCGACGAGCTCGGCAAAGGCCACTACGATACTCAGGAGGGTCCAGAGCATCGAGCGGCAGGTGACAATGACATGACACATATTGATGTTCACGGTGGGAAAACGAGGCAGGAGTCCACGGGGTCAATCCAGAAAGACAGCGGTGAGATGCGAGGGGGCCCGGGAAGGAAGTCGCGGCAAGGTTCGCTTAGTTCCGCGGTCTGAGGCAGCAGTAGCAGTGAGGTCCTGGTCCCGGGCTGGCGGCATTCATGGAGTGGGAAGTCCTAACGGCCTCTGGCCTCACCTAGGTCCAGAGAGGAGGAGTGTGAGCGGCTGGCCAGGCCCCGCCCCGCCCTGCGCCGCCCCCACCCGGGACGCCCGCCACCTTCCCGCCCACCTTCCCGCGCTCAGCTCCCAGCCCCCAGCCGGGGCACTTTCTGGATGCCATTGTTCCTCATTCTTTGTGGCAACACCCACTGTGGGGCGGTGGGGGACCTTATCTGGCTCCCACCAATCTTCTGCCAGGGCGATCGCAACCCCGGGACACTGCCCCAGCAGCCAAACATCACAGACAGATGCAGGCATGGCTGGCAGGGAACTTTGTCAATGCTCTGGGGGCCCCTTGGAGAGTTTGTGAGGCAGAGGACACTGCTGTGCTACCACACGAGCTGAGTTCTCTAAAACACCAACCGTTTTTGCTATTCAACCGCAGTGAGTAAGACCTTCAACAACAACAACTTGGAAATCAGATCACCAGTATTTGCTTCCTGGCTGAGTAAGAAGGTAAAGGGAAATGATCCCAGGAGAAAGAATAAGCAGGCCATTCCCATCCATTGGTCATATTATTTTAGAGAAGCTAATTTGTGCTAGTTAAAACTTTTCAAAAAGCCCTAATGAGGTCATGACTTAAGAAAACTATTCAAAATGGTGCACTGGTGACTGTTAACTGGGCATCACTACAGCGGGGTCCACTTGTTGACAACATAAAGTTGTCCTTGAAGAATGCATCTCTTGAATTGTCCCGATTCATCTCATGTCCCTTGGCCTGAGCTTCCATTCACCCCAGGTCTTGGACTCAACACACTCATTGTTTGTGATATCACAGAGAGCTCATTCTTGCTCCCGAGGACACATGACTTCATTCCCAGAGGACTTTTGCCCCAGTGGCTCAGCCTTCTTCAGAGTTTGAGCCCTCAATCAGGGGCTGGCACTGCTGGTCTGCAGCCCGGGTTCTCTATCCCCTCTCCAAGGTCAGGCAGGATCATATGGCTCCTATGTGACATCTGGGCATATGGCCGTGCTCTGAGTGACCCCGTCTCATTAGCGGAGGTCATGTCAATGCCATGAGAACTACAAAGAATCCCTTGAAACACTGGGCCTGGGTGAGGCAGGCAATTGTGGGAGAGGGAGGGAAATGGGGAAATAACAAAGTCCACTGGCAAAGCTTAAAATGGCGGTTGGTATGCCACACACCAGCACTCTGCCTGCTGGCTGACACTCCAGGGAGCGGTGACTGTACTCATCCTATGAAACATGAAACAGGAAGTATTTAAACCCTACCACTATAGATACACGGTATGTTATTCTTAAGACACAGTCCGCAGAATACGAAGGACATACGTGTGTAACTACCAGGCTGTGCTGGGCTTGGTGAAGGGAGAGGTGGTGTGTTCCACTAAAAACCTTTTGGAATTCCTCAGATCTGGGCTCTCAATCCAACACCACCACAGTCTGGTCATATGGATAAGTAACTTCTCAGTGTGTCATACAACCGTATTGGCTGGTCAAGCTAGAGTCATCAGAGGAAGGAGCCTCAGCTGAGGAAATGTCTCCATGAGATCCAGCTGTGAGCATTTTCTCATTTAATGATCAACCAGGAGGGCTCAGCCCATGGTGGGTGGAGCCATCCCTGGGCTGCTGGTCCTGGGTTCTATAAGAAGATGGCTGAGCAAGCCATAGGAAGCAAGCCAGTAAGCAGCTCCCCTCCATGGCCTCTGCATCAGCTCCTGCCTCCAGAATCCTGCCCTGTTTCAGTTCCTGTCCTGACTTCCTTCAGTGAAGAACAGCAATGCTGAAGTGTCAGCCTAATAAACCCTTTCCTCCCCAGCCTGCTTTTTGGTCATGGTGTTTTGTTGCAGCAATAGAAACCCTGACTAAAACAACAACCTCGATGGAGACCCTCACCAGACATTGTAAGCGATGAACAGGAGCCTGTAAAAGCACCACCCCACCCCCACCCCCTAGCAGTTTTTCTCCCATGCCCCTGGTCTGATGGGAGCTGAGCCAGCAGAGGTACTCCGGTAGGCCAGAGGTCATGATGATGGGAAGGCTGAGCACAGGCTATTTAGCGATGATGGAGCTGTCGCTCGTGCCTAAGGTGCCTAAGTCTGCCTGGTGGTGACCTCACTTGGTGCTTCTGCACCGTCTAAGCTAGGCTTCCAAATGCAACTGGAGAGAAAAGATTAGCATGAAGCACAAACACAGGTGTCACTTGCAGGTGCTTCTTACCACATACTTAACACAGAAAAGCCTTCCGAGAGACAAGAGTGTTTCACCGGCGACTGTTTAATAACGAAACAATCATGCTGGATGAGAACTGGAAAAGGAGCCAGGAGGCCCCGCTGGAGGCCCTGGGAGGCTGCACCTGCCCAGTCTGTTAAGAGAAGCACAGAGACCTCCGCCCCCCCCCCAACTGATTGGAAAAGCAACTCGCTATTCCAGTCCATTCCCACCTTGTCCCTCTTTACTTTGAAATGGCTTTTCAGGATATTTGTCCCCTTGCTGAGCCATGGGGCTCTGTCCTGAGCTCTCAGATGGCTTCTACCGCAGTGGCAATGCAGTGTCCATTGTGCTGCCACAAGGTCTGCTCTGAGTCAGGAGTGGGATGGGGCTGTGAAACTTCAGGCCTGCGGGCTTAGTAAAATGGTCCGTGCCAAATTCAAGGCAGGATTATTTGTGGATCCACACGTTTAAGCTTAGAAAATAAAGCACTTTCCCCACCTGCCCCCAAAGAACACATCCTCTCCCTCCAAACAAGGTCGCATTCGAATAGCAGAATAGCTGAGGTGAGGCGGCCTGCTCTTCTGTTTTGAGACCCCAGCAAGTTTCCTAACTGCTGCTGGCAGTGAACTGCTGTGATATTCTAGGCAGACTTAACTAGGCAGCTTCACCAGCTCAGAACAGAGCCAGGGTAGCTGGACAGGGGACAATCTGGGAACTCAGCAGGGGACTCGAGTAGGTTGTGTTCTGTGAAATGTCCCCATTTGGCTAAATGCACTGAAAGGCAGCCACCTGCTGAGACTACCTCCCTGTCAAAGGGGAAATAGATCTTCATTATAGATCTTTGTTAACCACAGGGGCCCAGGCTCAGTACTCCTCAGCAGGGGTACTCTCTGCTGCTAACTGCCTTTTCTGTCCCTACACGCCCTCATAAACCACCTGGGAAAAAGCCACTAAATACATCTCCCGTCTAAGACACCCAGCCTTACTGTCACAGGCACAACGATTGTGGGTCACCTGGACAACCTCTTACAGAGAATAACATTACAGAATTGTCATGAAGACCCATAACGTAAGTCTCTGGGGGAAACAAAAGAGGAGAAGGACACAGGAAGTGACAATAATCACATCATCCAAATAGAGAGCCAGGAGGAGTTTATAGAGGCAGGGCACTGTATCCTGTACATAGTCTTCACAAGCGCTAGCTTGTATACAAAAGAGACGTGCACAGCTGGGGTGTGCACCTCACAATCTGAGGGCCCCAACGTTTTCCAAGTTCCTATCGTCAGAAGGGAACGGAGGGCACACAAAACCGGAATGAGGTGGTGCCTGCTGGCCAGCTTTCTTCGATTACCAGAACACATGCCCTGGAACAAAGTTAATCCCCACCCAGAAGGTGTAGGGATGCCAGGGATGTCAATCAACGCCACACTGCATCCTACACTCCCAGCTTGGCAGAAGAGGCAGGCAGGAGAATGAGGTGAGGTCAGGGCTCTAACTTGCCTTGCATATGCTTTTCAATTGGATGCTAACAATGTTGAACACAGTCATACACTGGTAAGAATAGACAAAGAGCCAAGATTCAACATTTGCTCTTAACATTCCCCCTTATTTTTTCCTGATCTAAAGCATGCACCCAAGGTTTTTTTGTTTTGTTTTGTTTTGCCACTTGCAAATGAGATGTCCTAATACTTCATCCCTAAACGCTCTAGCACGCACCTCCTAAAATAAGGATATTTACCTGCATAGCTACAAGAAAACAGTCTTCTTATATCCAATGCCTTGTCTATAGTTTGCCAAGCCTGCTCCATTTTTACAGTCTCCCTCCCCCCTCAACGCTGTGACTCAGTCAGCAATCATAAACTGCATTTTACCCTCTCTCACTTTTCCCCGAAGACGTTAGAGCTGTTACCTTACCATACCCAACAACCTGGGTATTGACTCTTCTTGTCACTTAAATTGTTACCTATGGTCTGCTTCACAGAGATGGGATGTTCACTCTCAGGAGTTCAGGGTTAGGTACTTGCACTGAGCATCCTTTGGAGGTGAGGCCCTTTGATTCCCGCTGCTGTGCTGAGAGGAAAGCACTAGTATCATAGACCCCAAACCAGAACAACCTTATGCACAAACTCTCACACACTGTGCCAGGGTTTTCTCTAGGCTGATATGAAACCTGAATCTATAGAGAAAGATGGGAGCCCGGCTCCTCAGGTTTGAGAGTGCCCTGAGTGGATTTTGTCGCTACAGTTCTATTTGAAGATGACATTCTGAAGCTGGATAGGAATGCCACTTTTCAGCAATGAGCTGTCTCTCCTTGTAACACAATCGTGTTTTATATATAACCTATAAAAATTTAATTTAGAACCCACAGGCCTAGGATGGGAGATAAACCCCAAATGGCCCCTCCTGGGAAATATACTTGAACTGAGAAAACACAAGTCACATAGGGAAAAGCTTTCTTGCAACCAGAAAATTTGTAACTGAAGAGCAGCCCGGAGGCCTCTATAAGAAAACAACAAACTAGCCTGGCAGACGTGGCGCTCACCTTTAATCCCAGAGGCAGGTGGCTCTCTGTCTCTGTGAGTACGAGGCCAGCCTGGTCAAAAAGCTATACAGAGAAACCCTCTCTCGAAAAACAAAGTGAGTGAGAGAGAGAGAGAGAGAGAGAGACAGAGACAGAGAGAGAGAGAGAGAGAGAGAGAGAGAGAGAGAGAGAGAGAGAGAGAGAGAGAGAGCTTGGTGTCCTCTGGCATTGCTCTCTGCCCACCACTCCTGCCCTCAGCAAGCGTATCATACTGGGAGAAG